TTGCTAGTGGGCCAAGGGGTGCAACTTAGCAAATGTTTATGCTTCACTTTAGTTTATACCGGTATAGGACAAAAACATACTTTTGTTGCTTTTTCCTGCTGGTCCATATGTCGGTGGGACAAATGACAAAGGTAGTCAGCTATTTTAAAAAGCATTCAGGGATCTGTAGGAGTGGTGAATAACAATACATGCATAATGATATCACTTATATGCAACAGATTGTGTACTTGTTTCATTCTTTATGATCAAAATACTTAATTGTAGTGTTTATACAAGGATATCTCACATGTTTATTATTATTATTATTGTGATTTGTTGTGGTGCTTATATTGTATGCTTTTTTAACTTCAAAAACACCGCCCTCTCCCAGATGGAAATACCACAACACACTATTCAAATTCTTCATGAACATGTCACTCCAGGTGTCTTGGACCTTGGATATATCTTTCCCCTGAGCATTCTTCAAGCAGTTTGTAGCTATGGTCATAATTTATAACATCAAAAGTAATTCAATATACAAACAGGAACATTTTTACTGCACTTGCTTAAAAACAGAGTATCTCTCATTAAACTAGCAAGAATGTGATTATAGCCTATTATAGCAATTCTCAATTTTCATCTGTTAAGTAGACTATGTAATGTTGTGAGCTGTTCAATATTAGGAAATTTTTCTTGACTAATGCTCACAATAATGTCACTGTATTTCCACTTTGAAAGACTCTTTTTATCTACATTTCTGAGCCCTCTTTCCAATGGGTAAGCATGCTTAACTAGGAAGGGACAGCTTGGTCTTCACATAGCTAGGTCCTAATGATGTGTGCACAGTTTTTGGCTTTAGGTGTTCAATCTCTTTCTCTTTTACTTCAAAGCAATTCCTTTAATATTTGACGAGAGATATATAGTGAGTTTTAGTGCATAAAATGTGCCTCCCACCTCTTTCATACATGCAGCGCAGCATTCAAATCCAGTTCTAAGTATACTTACTCTCAAGTAAATAGTTGGAGTTCAGCAGATCTTTCCTCTAGCCATATAGCCACAGGAGCAGTAACTACCATTGTATCCTTTTCTTCCATCTAGTCCAGGGGTGTCAAACTGCCGGCCCATGGGCCGGATGCGTCATGGCGAAACTGCGCCCACCCCATTGCCAGCAATGGAAAAAAAGTCACGACACGTCACATGACGTTGCAAGTTTGACACCCCTGATCTAGTCTGACCCTTGATCACAAGAAATATCTTTCCAAAGGCCCCGTTTTGTTGTATAATTCTGCAGCAACCATATTGAGAGCAGATGTGGTAAGAACAAATTACAAACATCTACTTTCTAAAGATAGCTGCTGCAGCTAATAATTAAAGGGAATCCCACACAGAGATGTTAATCCAGGGTCAAGCTTTATTTTGGGATGGAAGTAAGCTTGGTTGCCCTAGTATTTGTGTTGAGGATTAGATAGGCAGAATGCAACTGTGTTTATTCTTCTTGACCTCAGGGCAACTTTCAGACATATAGTCCTCCTGAATCATTTATTTGAATTGGTTTTAGGTATTATACAGTTTCAAAGAATTGTACAATTCAAAAAAGACTGTTTAGGCTATTGAATCCAATATCCTATCACCACCCTTTTGATGCATGACCCTCTTTCCTAATGAAGCAATGTGAAAACCTTGATAATTTGCATAGTTTTAGATACCTACAAGCCGATATGACAAAATTAGACTACAGTTTCTATTCATGGATTGTATTTGAGATGGCACAGATTACAATTTGAATCTGTATCAGGTCATGCAAAGGTTCTGCAATGTGAAAATGTGGGTGTCTACAGACAGGCTTAAATCCCCTGTTTTCCCATTCACATGAATAATACATAAAAGAACTAACTCCTATAACGAAAACAATACCACTACTACTAGGTGCCAGTTCTTTCTGCTTCACCTGCATGTGGGGAAGTTGAGGAATTTCAAATTTATTTCAAGAATTGTTAAACCACTCATATTGTGAGTTTTGAGATTCCCTGTATACTAGTTAAAATGTTTATTAGTGCTACAATATGACCCCAGAACAACTAGTATGTGAACAACTGCTTGCACAGATTTTTGTGACCTAAGTTTTTTTAGAGTCTGCACACAAGATAAATAGACTGAAAGACTTGTTGTATGTATTTGAAAATTGGTAATAGAAAATGCAGTAGGTTTGGATGCTAGTGACCATTCATAGGGCTAGGAATTCTGGATTGCAAATATCTGGAAGATCACTAATTGGTATCAAAGAGACACAGAAATGTCTAACTTCCTGCCCCCATTTAGCCATGATCTTTTTTTTTTTTTTTTTGGGTAGGCCAGATCCAATAACAGTAATCCAATGGCTAAGCATAAGATGTCATTTCCACTGATGATGTCCAGAGGCAGTTGTAAAGATCAGAAGAGTTGAAACAGAAACATACAATAGAACAGCTAGCTAGCAGTGTCATCAGAAAAAGCAAGAGGAAGTAATGTGTCAGAGTAATTTAGTTTCAGATGTACTTGATATTTAAATTATACCATGGCAAGTCAAAAGTTCCTGACTTAATGCTTTGGACAACAGTTGTGAAATATTTTGAAAAGTCTAGAAAATAAGTAGAAATAATGAACAGTAACTCATAAGGACTAGGTAACATTCATACCAACCACAGTTTCTGTCTATGTATTCATACATCCTCTGTGATTGTGTAAACTGGAAGTATGAAGGTGACTGGAAATGAGATTATGGAAAATGTTATATCTTTGTAATAGTTGAATGCCTTTTTGTAATTTAAATATTAATTGAAAAAATAAGGCCAGGGGTTAGTTGACACTTGGCTTCCCTCTCTTTTGCCTTTCCATGGCTTTGATCATGCTACATCTATCTTTGTGCCTCATTCTCCAGAGACCATCTTGGGGTCATGGCCTGTTTCCTAGTCAAGAGGTATAAACCTACTGGCTTAAATATTTGAGGCCCACAGTTTAGCAGGGGGGCCTTTTTGCTTCATGCTTTCCCCATTTCCCACATAACCCTGAGCAGACTAAACAAAACCAGTGTGAAATCTCATGACTTGATGCTGCTATGGTTATATTTTTTAAGCTGTCATCCATTCATTTTTACTTGTGTTTATTCCCTGGATTTACAGCTTTTTTTCAAGCCTTTTTGGGGGGGGTGAATGTTTGAAACCTTTTGAAAAAGGATTGCAGAAAGCAGTGGTCAATTATTAAAGCCTACTGTTGTTTTTTTTCTCGCCATGCTGCTCTTGTGCAGTAGTGTCACACATGGTAGCATTTAGCATCCCCTTCACAGCTGAAGTGTTTCAAACACTAATGAATGGAAGTTTGGTCACATAATGCAGACAAGCTGTATCGCAGGCTTTGCTGAGTGGCGTATGGCAGTGGCCTGGGAAAGGAAGAGAGTTATAAATTGTGTCAGCTATAGCCACCCAGACAAAATGAAGCCATGTGGAAAATCAAATCTATTAAAATATGAAGACTGTTATAAGCTGGTCATTCTTAAAAGGTCTCAGTTTGCTATATGGGTAAATATTTACCTATTCATCCTAGATCTTTTTCACATGCTGTCTTACAAGATGATGTGCAGGATTTGATAAAAATCAACTTCTCTCTAACAGCCCCTTTTATCAGCAGTGTTTATTTTCTCCAGTTTACCACCCATATCCTGAAAGGTACTGCACATTAATTGAATGAGTGTAAAAGAATGGCTCAGTGGAGCAAGGTCAGAAGATAGCCCTACATATTTTAAGACCAAAGGAAAAGGGTAGGGGTGGAGACTGGGACTAAGAATGAAAGAGACAGCAAAACAGCCCTCTGACAGTTTCTGGTTTTGTGTTGTTAACCTAGATTTTAGACATTGTCTCCAAAAATAGGGTTATGCTTACATGTGTTTTAAGCTTCAGGCAGAGGGTTAGCGTGGTGTTTGGTTAAAAATTTCAGTAATAGCTGAATTGTAAGATTGTTGTACTGTCATGTGTGGTGTGATAGGTTGGGATATGAGAGGCCAAAGTTCACATCCACACTTAGCTCTGAAGCTTGTTGGGTGGCCTTGGGCAGCTTTCCATTTCTCAGCGTAACCTGCTTCCAAGATTCTTAGCTGAGTGGATAAATGAGATAAGCCCATAAAGTATTTTGTATGTTGAAAAGTCCTGAAGATGTGATTAATATCAAGAGAACAATGCACATGAGATGCACATGCCTTTTCTTTAACCTGAAAACTGAAGTCTTTTATACAGTCATTTTTGCCATCTATATTTCTCTGTGAGCTTGTTCTTAGGCATATCTGCATACCATATTTAGATTCACAAATATCTTTAAAAGGAGCGATATGGGAATGGTATGACCTAAAGTTTACAATTGAAACAGCACTTCTGATAGTTGCTCTAGTTGCAGAAATTAATTGTGAAAGATATCTCTAAGTCCTGGTATTTATAGAAAACAGCTTAAAAACAGCAAAAACTGTTTCTAATGAGTTAATATGTTAATGACTTTGTGGGGCCCCTTGATTTGTGTAACAGGGCAAAGGAATTAATCCAATCATAGATTCCTTCCACACACCCCCAAGAGGTAACCCATTGTTAGCAGTTCCAGTTTAGCTCACATCTTAAAATGTAGCCACATTTCCTATTTCTTCTTCATCCACAATGCAATTTGTCAATCTTAATGTAGTATTTTACATGAATTCAGTCATTGTGATTCCTTCAACAAGCTAAGACAAATTATGTTTGTGTGAACTCAGTTACCCTTTGAAACTTGACTACGACATTCTGAGTAAGTCTGAGTAATTCTGAGAAAGTTAGTAATAATGAATTCCTGGTTTATATTTCATACTGCAAAGCAAGAAAGGAAGCATATATGGACATAGGTTCTGAGACTATCTCACTCTTATTAAGCTAAAATACAGTTGTTTGAACTGGCTCAGTTATTCACTTCAACTTAAAGTATTTTTAATAGTTGTATAATTAATTTACTACTCTGATTGCTTATTCCAGGATCAGCCTGAAGAGACATCCTCACAAGAATCAGCAGAAGATGATTAGAAAACCACACTTTTCTATTTCTACCTCATCAGCAGTTGGATCTTTTGAAGAGAGAAGACACTGCCATGACCACTTACTTCTGTTTCCACAATCTTCTACTTTGGCCTGAGTGGGGAGGAGGAAAGGAATCCACATAACCTTAAAAAGGACTTATTAATAATTATTACAATCCCTTCATTGTCCCAGGTTTCGTGAAACTGCTGTAACACAGGGGGACACAGATTAACAACGCAACATATACTTACTGTTTTCTCTTATTTTTCTTTAATCTACTAATAGTTTGAGCTGCTAAGTAAGGGTGAATGGGTCAGTAAATCTCAGAAGCAGGTTTCAAGTTGTTCACTGCACTGCCTATAATTTTAAAATATTGATTACCATGGGCATTTAAATTGGAAAGACTGGTGTTTGACACTAGTTCTTACAACATCTCTGACCACCCACTCCCTGGCTTAGTGAATTCCCTCTTTAGAACACCAAAGATAAGGATGTAGATGCTAGGATTGTATATGCTTCAGGATGATTCAGGAGGGTTTCACACCTCATGCAAGCACAGCACCTCTCTGCTGTTCATTAAAGCAACCTGAAAGAAAAATGCAAATGCCTTTAATGACTACCCAGTTAGTGTTGTGCTTGTCTCACATTAATTTCAATGAGTCAGGTCTTTAAAGCAGCTGCATAATTTTTTAGGCTTGAGTAGACATTTGCAAAAAGAAATAGATAACTTTAGTGAACAGCAGAGAGTTTATTTTTGGAAGGTCAGAAGTGCTTCTTTGAAATAATTTTTGAAGTATGCACAGCCCTTTTAGATACTATTTTGATAGCCTTGGACTAGATTTGTGCTTATTTGTTTCTCATGTTATTGTTCTTTTGAGACACATCTAAGATTAATTTGTTTCAGTTAATTCAGCTGATAATCAGGAAGGAAAAGTCAAAAGAAAAAAAGGTACTTTGCAACAAAAGGGGAAAATGACATAGTATAATAGTAATACACATATCTGCTGAAGTAATATCAAATGGAACTCAACAGTACCCTCTTTGGAAATGTACACCCTGAAGTGGAATCTGCTTTCTAGAGATTATCATGTTGTTTAGAAATGACTTACATCAGACTTTCAGGACTGAAATTTAGCAACTAAAATTTGGATTTTAGTGAATTTTAAACAATACCTCAGAATGATTTTAAATCATACCATACTGGAACCAAGGGAAATAACTTAGATATTTAGTTTGATTTGTTACTGTGCTGCCAGCCCATTCCACTCCTTCAGAGGAATGGCCTTATCATCTTCACTAATACATCTCCATTCAAGAGCCAATACTATGTACCTCAAGTGGGCTTATTACTTTTAAGTAATATACATTGACATAGGATATTTATCTGGACAGTTTGGTCCAGTTCTATGTCCCCATTTTTTTTTTTTTTACTAAAAAGCAGCACTTTTAACAACTGCAATATTATCCCACTTTTCAGTACTACCTCTGTTATTTACATTGAACTCAACAATCATATAAACATTTGCTGCTATGAGCATACAATGCAAGACATTGTTATTGGATAAATTCTGCATTCCCCCAATCTTTTTTTTTTTACTTTGTCAACTTCATTGCAATTAAGAACACAATACTGTTAATGTTTTCCAGCATTACAATATTTTTTCTTTTTAAAGTATGCTATGCCTTTCTCTGCTAAATTTCTATATAATGTACCATTAACTTGAATATATTTTTGTACCAAATTGCTCATAAGGTTTGTAATGATAATTTTCTTCATTGACACTACATAAAAATAATTAACTGCAGTGTTTAACTATTATTGTCCAAGTCTGTACCTCAATTGACTTTTTAAAAAAAGAAATGGATTAGTCAATTGACAAGACCTACCTCCAGACTATTAATGGATGAACTTGCTGTTTCTTTCAACATTTGTTTTTCAGAAGAAATACTTTTGTCTTCCCAAAAACAAAAGCAAGGAAAAACCCAAATTAGAACTATTTTTGTAAAAGAGCTTTGTGGGAAATGAACACATATTAATTTGTTTCATATTAAAACCACCCCTCAAAGAAACTTGAATCTTTGTAGGTTGGACGCAACAAGCTCAGCTTTTTGCATAATGCAATCACAAATAAGTGTGTGTATGTTTCTGTGTATGTGTGTAAAAACTAGTAGATTATATGAGAATACTCATCAAGTATTTTCATTTTTTTCACAAATGTGATTTTTTTTGTAATAAGTGTCAACCAGATTTATTTTAAATGCTTCTTATGTAGAGATTAATACTTTGACTTCTTTGATTTCTTCCTTTTTATTTCCTCTCTTTGTCTGCCTGTCTTACCCTCAGTGGAAATATCTGTTGATAACCTTGTTTCATTATTTGGGCCAGGGGTAGATTCTCAGGAAAACATTCTTCAATATGGCTTTAGTGTTAGTCAAAGCAACTAAGGAGAGCTACTTACTGGCTGCTTCACAAGATTGACTGTTAAGAACAAACACCTGCTCCGGTGATATGAGTGCCTTGCATTAGGGATCAGTAAAAATGAGCATATAAGAAAAATGTATTTTAGGTATCTTAATGTTCCCTAATTTGTAAATAATTGTACAATAACTGCATATGGGACTTAGTCATGACTATTCAAGCTGTGGCCTAAAAGACAAACTACAATGCGAATATACAGATTTCTCCTTGTGGGTGCAGCCAACTGACCTCCAAACAAATTCCTTAGAATGAGACATAAGGAATATTACTGGAAATAAAACATTTAGTAACTGATGAGGAACACTTGCTCAAGACTCCAAAAATGCCTTGCTTCTTTAGACTTTGGGTTTTAATAGCATAGGCCAGTGTTTCTCAACCTTGGAAATTTACCATGTGCAGAGTTGCAGTCTGCACATGGAAACTCACCAAGACTGAGAAACACTGGTATAGGCCACACTCCCTAATTCCATGATTCTAGTATGTACAAAAGCTCCATCCAGGAAAAGGGATGTATTATTTTTAATCTTAAGAAATGGTGTGGATACAATAGGAAATCCCTATTTTGCACATGGGAATATACCATGAATTACTGAAGAAAATTGAGTAAACTTTATCTATATGGAGGTCTGTGTGAGCATCAGTATCCTTATACTGGAGTTTCTGAATCTGCTTAACAGTGTGAGATGAACTAAATATTATTGACAAGTGGGGGCAGGCATCATATTCCTAAGGTCTTATAGCTTTGATCAAATCTTACATTTTCTGTATATTGTAGAACAATCAAAACACATTACTACCTCTCAGGGTCTTCTATACCTCATTTTCAGATTGAAAATAACCTTGTGGCCATTGAAACAGAAGGATCATCATAAAATTTTTATATATATAGTTTATTTTTATGGGAGATAAATTTTATAGGACTGTTCTTTGCTGTCATTGGTCACTCGTAGATAAGACTGGATATTATTTTTTTCTGCCATTTCTGCACAATTGATATGCTTGCAAAAACGTACAGTTCTTTTTCTATTTTCCTCAACTGTTTTCTAGTTTGTTGCTTTGTTATTCATTTAGAGTTGCTGTCTATGATTTTGAATTGCTTGCTTGTTACTTTGCTGGATTATCACAGTTTGTTCAGCACAATAAACTCATAGTTTATGTAATCTTCATGTTCAATTGCTAGTATTTTGTCACTACTTCATAATTAAGCAATAAAGTTTGGTCTTAGTGAGACAAGTTTATAAAAAAACTTAAAATGCTGTACAAATATTACTCTATTCAAACTATATACTGTACATGATACATGAAAGGGAGATCCAATTGGCAGTTAAGGCACCAAGCTAGAAACCAGGAGACTGAATTCTAATATATATTTAAGTACATATGATAACCATTGTGAGCAGAAATATATCTTCCTTTGTACTTGCTGCTGTTTCTAAATTATCTGATATAATGGTCAAATTATAACAAAAAGTGGAAACCAAAAACGCCATGAACTGCCATATACAGTACACATACTTGACATGGTTATATTTAGCCTTCATTGTTATGAAAAGGAAATTGCTGTGTCCTCATTGAAAGTACTCAATCAGACTTGGAAGCAAGGCAATTGGCAAATATATAGAAAAATAACTGTAGCAGTTACATGAATTTATAGGTTCTTTTATCTTCTAGACAAAATGTTATGTGATACGTATAGGTTTTCAGTGAAATTGGATTACTTGCTGGCAAAATGTTAAACTCCAGAGCCATAAACTTGTATTTCAGTTTTAGGGTTTTGTTTTTTTTAAATGGCTGCTGAAAATTAGTGAGTTAAATATTATGCATTTATCCTATTCATATCAGTACAGAGAAAATAATTTATTACACTAATCTTGCCTTCTATTTAGATAAAGGTAAAGGACATTAATTATGAAATCTCAAATGAGTAGATGGTAATTTTTTCAGCCTGTCTTTCAAAAATGGCAGTAAGGATCTCTAACCTTAAGTGTATTAAACAATAGATAACATGAATGATATGATTAGGGTATTGCAGAGCACCTGTAGACAATTAATTTCTAATCTTTGAGTAAATTTTACTCATTTCCTCAGCCTAACTTATCTCACAAGACTGAAGTAATGATAAAAGTGAGGCAGCAGTTCAGATTTTTCTGAACTGTTTCAAGAAAGAACAAGATAAAAATAATAAAATAGTTAAGCAGAGATATTGATACCAGCAATTCAAAGCCTTCAATAGTAAAGGTAACTGGAAAATGACTACAAATCACATTTTAATAATGTAATTGTGTTTTTGTTCTTCAATCAAAATATAATTTTTATAAGGAATTACACTCCCAAATGATGAGTTTATTTTTATTTCAACTAAATGATATAAACATTTAGTTAAAGAAAAATACAGATATGCAGAACTGAAAATATTTCACATGCATATACATTATCTGTAGAATAATCAGAAAATCAGATTTAAAAAGCATAAAGCAAGGTAACGTACAAATGCTATACTGTATATACACAATATACATAAATATCTTTAGCATTTTATTTTATTCAGGGCAGAAAGTACATTCACAAGGAAGATGTTTAAAGTATTTTACCTTATTGATAGCAATTGGCTGACCTCTTCTGGATTTCCTTTTTTTTATAAAGATTTTATTGATTTTCTTTTACATACATGTGTTAATTTTTTAACCAACGAGCAGTCTGGGCTCAGCTATGCTAATACATGTTCAATTCCTAATCCTTCATTTTCTCCTCTAGCCAATAATAAAATAAGTTTGGTAATAATCTGTGTCTTCCTTATCTTTCAACCTCATGGTTAATCTGTCCATCTCTGCGCATTCCAATATTTTTTTGATTATTTCTTCCTCTGATGGTATTTCTTCATTCTTCCAATATTGTGCAAAGATTATTCTTGCTGCTGTGGTGATGTGTAAAATCAAATATAGACTTATTAATCTTTTCAGGCATTATACCTAGTAAGAAAAGTTCAGGTTTAAAATCAACATGTTCACCTAATATTTTTTCTAACCACGCATTTATCTTTTTCCAATAAGCCTTTGCTTTGCCACATGTCCACCAAATGTGATAGTATGTGCCTGAATTGTGCTTACATTTCCAACATCTATCTGACATATTTTTAAACATTTTTGCTAATCTTTCTGGTGGCAAGTGCCATCTATAAAACATTTTATATAAGTTTTCTTTATATGAAGTTGACATTGTTAATTTGTAATTTCTCTCCCATAGCTTTTGCCACTTTTCTAGTTCTATATTGTAGCCAAAGTTTTTCACCCATCTCATCATTGTGTCAGAATCCAATTATACTTCATCTCCAGTTATCAATTATAGAAAATCCCATTTCTGCCCTCTCTGGATTCTGTCATAAAGAAAGAGAGGGGGGGTGAACAAAGGGGCTTTATGGCCCTCACTTCCTTCGGTACAACTTGAAAGGGTTTGAATGTGGATAGCACCAAAAGGCCTCGTCATAACAAAGGAGGCTATTTACCTTTCATGTAGTTTATCTGAAGTCTCCATCCAGCCGGCAGAAAGGAAAAAAGGGGTGGGATTGCGATGCCTGAAACTGTCACTGGAAGAGGGGAGTGATTGGGTGGGACTACTGGGGAACCCCTTAAAACCTCGAATGGGAGAGCTTGAACCCCAAGTCCTGTCTAGAACGCCTGCAACCATTTTCTCTTAATAAAGGATTCCTGTTGGAAGAATTATTCCAAGAGTTCTGTCTTCTTAAGATGCAAAGTGGGGTGGGTCCTTACATTAGACAGGACTTGCAAAATTAATCCACCTGGAAGGGAGACCCTTGCCGGGGGATTTTGCAAAAAATTACCATGTCAGACAATGGAGCAAGAAAGGGGGAAAACTCCCTGGAAAGAGAGCCGCTGACTCAATTGGAACCTTGCCAGAGGTTGGAATCCGAGAGGTCAGATTCCTCAGGAGAAGAAGTGGTGGAGACACGAGACCACAAGCCTCGCTGGTCAATGGGCGTTGGAAAGAAAAGTGAGTGGGGAAAGGAATCAAGAAAGGTGACCCTGAGACAGGGGACCAAGCAACCAGAATGGAAGCAGGAGATGGAGAAATTCCTGCACGCAAGTGAAGAGAGAGAAAGCTGGGCACCGTACTCAGACTGGATCCTAGAGAAAGCTATTGACCTGATGAAGAGAACTCTCAGCTCCCTAGGAGAGGAGAATCCTGAGCCCTACGGCCGCCCCAGCTCCTGGAGCCGCAAAGGGAGAGACACCGAGGGGGATGTGGAACCTGCAACCCCGGGGACATCTACTGATCCAGTAGTCCCCACTCCCTACCAGACCACAGATGGCAATCTGGACGGAAGACACTACCACCAACAACGGAGGCATCGATCCATTCCAAGACGTCCGCCGTTGGAGGTGAAATTCAAAGGGGAGCCAACATGCTTGGGGTTTTTCCTAACCCAAGTCCTCAGCTACATGGAGGAATATGGGCAGGACATTCCCAGCGACAAAGCCCGCATCCGGATCGTGCAATCTGCCCTGGATGGACCGGCTGCAGATTGGGTGGTGAACTTGCATGACTCCAATGCCCCAGAACTCAGTAACTTCAACCATTTCATGTCCTCTCTGAGAAGACGATTTGAAGACCCCCTGGCTGATCGCAAAGCCTGTGAAAGGATAAAAACGATGAGGCAAGGCAAACGCCCGGTGGCTGAATGTACACAAGAATTCCAGGCCATTGCCCGCAAACTGAATTGGCCAGAAGACATCCTCCTTAGCCATTTCAAAGACGGACTAAATTATGATCTATATGATGCTTGCCTGCCCCGAGGGGACCCACACCAACTTGAGGAATTGTACATCTTGGAAGAGGAAGCAGAGATCAACATATTGAAGAGACACCGCCGAGGAAAACAATGGAGCCGCTCCCCCTCTGAGTTGACACACGAACTGGTGAAATCATCGGCTACAGCCAAGAAGCAAATGGGGTGTTTCAAGTGTGGAAGAGAAGGGCATCAAGCTGTAGAATGCCGCTCCAAAGCCCCCCAGCACAACCCAGACAGATTCCCAATCAACAAATCCGGAAAGTCTTCAGCTAAGCCAAAAGAAACTGCCATGAGAATGATGGAAATTGTGGAACCCCCCACTTCTGCTCACCAAGGGGAAAGAACTCCAGCCTACACCTCAGGGCCGGTGGATGCCTCAGATGACAGCTCGGAGGGCGAACCCCTAGTAAGTGAACACATCACACCCATCCTCAAGACAGTGACTATATTAATCCCCCCCATGCCCGAAGCTGTGAAGGTGAAAGTCTTAATAGACTCTGGCTGCACCCGCTGCCTCATTAGCCCAACACTAGTGGGTAATCTGGGCATCCCATCGAGGAGACTGGAACAACCAATCTTATTTGGCCAGTTAGATGGATCCATAGCAGGGGGGGGTGCCAGCTACCCTAGCCACTCTACCAATACACCTCTCCCTGGGCAAACATGAAGAGGACATAACGTTTGTGGTGACCCCAGGCATGGAATGCCCAATGATTCTAGGGATGGAATGGTTGAAAAAATGGAACCCGTGGGTAAATTGGAGGACAACAGAAATCAAATTCCCAAAGGGGGACCCTATGGACTTAAAACCCCAAGGGAGGCTACCAGAATCGAAAAAGCATCCATAGGAGAGGAAAAAAGATTAACAGAAATACCAGAGGAATATAGAGACCTTGCTGAGGTTTTCAGTGAGGAGAGGGCGAATGAGCTCCCCCCCCTACCGACCCACAGACTGTACCATTGAATTCAAGCCTGGGGCAAAACTCCCGAAGCCCAGATTATACTCCATGAGCCCAAAGGAGAAGGAGGAAATGGAAAGATTCATTAAATAAACCTAGAGAGAGATTTCATTGAGCCAGCCAAGCCTAAAGTGGCTGCCCCGGTCCTTTTTAGAGAGAAGAAGGATGGCTCTTTACGTTTATGCATGGATTATAGGGCCCTGAATACAATCAGTGAAAGCAACCTATACCCTCTACCCCTCATGAAAGACATGCTGTCACACCTATCGAAAGGGAAAATTTTTTCTAAACTAGACCTAAGGGAAGCTTACTATCGCATGAGAATTAAGGAAGGGGACGAATGGAAGACTGCATTTAACTGCCCCATGGGGTGCTATCAATTCAAAGTCTTGCC